CTAGTGATTTGATTGGTGTGGAGACCAGAAGCACTGGTCTTTTCTCAAGAGGAAGAGAACCACTGAAAAATCGTTCTGCTGTTTTTGCGTTGGGGGAGAGATTAAATGTTTTAAAGGTTTTCCGACTGTCAACCTGGTTATACATGTCATATTTTTTAATAGTTTGCTAATATTTTGTTAATATGCCTCGGAATCAGCTGTTTTCAATTGCAACTCATTGAACATCATTTTTTTTCTTCTTTTTCAATGATTCTCTTAGAAAGTTTTCAGAGCAGGCTTATGCTTTTAATCTCCAATTCATCAATATGATATAAGAATTTGATTTGACATGTAATTGTTTAGATATAAGGGATTTTAAAAATCCTTTTCCTTTTTTCATGTGCCAATGTCTGGCAGCAATAAGCAAATCTGGATTCCTGGTGACTGGCTTTAGCAAATCAGCAAAAAAAAAAAAAATGCGCTTTAGGTTACATATTTCTCATGCTACTTGGATTGTTCAAGTCCTGTTGTCTAAGTTTTGACCTAGGTTATACATTGAATTAAACCAAACGGCTTCAACCTAAGCTGTTGAAGATTAGAAGCCTGCATGCTAGATGTAATATTGGTGTGTATTGTCTCTGGACTTGTTTGTCCTTGATTTAAGAGTTTAAGCACGCTGTTTATTATTTATATTCAGGAAATTGATTAAATGCTTTGGTTATTTGTGTTACAACTTCTAGATCTTCTGTTTGGATTGATTCAATGTTTTACAGGAAATTGATCAACCCGCGCTTATTCCACATATAGCGGAGGCCAGCTCTTTAAAGTATCCTTATGAGGTCCTCTTCCGGAGTTTGCACAAGCTGCTTATGGACACAGCAACTTCTGAGTACCCTTTTCTCCTTGCTTGACTGTCATCCAATTTTAAGTCCAGACTTTATGCATGCTTAATTTTTACTTTCACCCCTTTCTAAATGTGCAGGTATCTTTTTTGTGATGAGTTCTTTGGGGAGGAGTCCATTTTTTATGAAATTTTTACCGGTAAAGAACATATTTACATATGCAGACCTAGGATTATAGTCAAACTTGCAGGAACAATTGTACTGTAGGTTTTTGTTGTTTGCAATCCATCACTTGGCGCTTGTATAGGATGTCATCAGTGATCTTGAAGCCTTGTGATTGCTTATGATATTCAACAATTGGAAACTTATCACGCATTTAGGAGCTAAAAAAATTGATCTATTGTTGAAAACTAGAAAAAGGACATGGCACTAGAAACCATTCTTGCACGTTCAGTATTACAAGAGGGGTGGGGTTCTGATGACTTCTCTGTTATTAATTTGTCTTCAGGTCCTTTTGCTGTCATTGATGAACATTTCAACTCTATCCTTCCAAATTGTTATGATGCTATTGGCCTTATGCTTATAATACGCATAGTACACCATCACCAGGTGATTGGTTCAAGTTGTCTTATATTCATGTCTCTTTTAGCAATTTGTTGTACACCAGCACTAGGTGATTTGCTCAAGTTGTCTTATAGTCATAATCCCTTTTAGCAATTTGTTGTTTTTGGATCTAAAGGTTTCGTTTAAAGTTTTCACGAGTGTGCGTTTATAGTATACTTCTGTACTACATGATTAAATTTTATACATGCCAAGGGATTCATGAATAATAAACTGGCTTTGACTTGCATACGTATGTATACATTTGAAAAGCCATATAATCAGTCGGGTTAATCTTTTTGCAGCTTGTTCTTTGACATGTTTAAGCTAGACCTTGTTACTATAATCCGTCTTTTGTTGTTCTGATTGCAATTTCCAATTCTGACATTTTGGTTTCCCTTTCTAGCTTATTATGTCTCGGCGGAGGGTTCCATGCTTGGATTCATATCTAGACAAGGTCTGTTATCTTCTGATGGTTATTCATAGAAAATAGCTTCTTTATTTTTGTGCTTTGTAAAATTCCACACATAGGGTTCTTAGGATTCACATGGGACTTTAATGTCAAGGCATGTATTTTATTTGAGTTGTTGGAGGCAATGATGATACAGTCCTTTGGAGAACCACACCCCAGAAGCTAGCTATCGAGGAGGGAAAGCCTATGTCCATTCAAACCCCACAAGGAAGCCCATATCTTTCCTATGTGGGATCCAAGTCCCATACCTTGCAATTGGCACATATCAAATGAGCATTGTGATATGGAAACCTAATACAAAGTATTTCTTTTTTACCATAATCAATACAAACTGAGGGAATGAATTAATTTGGAACCTGTATTTGTGGATAGCAGATGGACGTTTTGGTTTCATAATGCTCCATTAGCTTCTGTTTGCAAAAATTGTGTTTATCAGTTACCTTCAGCTTTTGTTATGTCAAATTTGATCCTAAAGTTAAGTGTTAATTGAATCTGAACAGGTTAACATAGCTCTCTGGCCTCGATTTAAGATGGTATTCGACATGCACGTCAGCAGCCTGCGGAATGCAAATGTGAAGTTGTTATGGGAAGATGATAATCATCCTCATTATGTCATGAGGCGTTATGCTGAATTTACAGCTTCTCTAATTCATCTCAATGGTGTCTATGGAGATGGACAGGTTTGAGACATTATAATCGATCATTGATTGTTGTATTACGAGTCTTTTTGCAAGCGTAATCATCTGAAATATTTTCAAATATGCAGCTTGAATTAAATATGGAACGATTGAGAATGGCTGTTGATGACCTCCTTCTGAAGCTTGCAAAAATGTTTTCAAAACCAAAATTACAAATTGTATTTCTTATAAACAATTGTGATATGACAATTTCAGTTCTGAAGGTAAATATCGGTTCTCAATTCTCGTTTCTTCTTATTCTTCATCTATATTGTTATGGAGAGGTTTAATTCATCACAGCTTCTTTTGCCTTGAAGTCCCATCTTTTGAAAGAAGTGATTTCTGTTTATATGAGATGTAAAGAGCTGCAATTTCTAACTGCTTTAATTTCTTTCTGTTTTCACTTATGTTATTGGGATTCAGGAAGCCAGTCCTGAAGGCGGCAAAGTTCAACAGCACTTTGAGGAGATGCTAAAGAGTAATACAGGATTATTTGTAGTAAGTTACAATTTTGACATGCACTTAAGCCATGTTGCATTGCATCATAATTACTTTGGGTTGATTGGATGGGTGGTGAGAGTCTGCTTGTCCATATCCAATTTTTTTTCTAAGGTTTTCTATGTATTTGGAGGTTCTTGTAGGGTCACACATCCGTGTCCCAAAATGTGTAAGACACATATATCGGGTTCGGGTCAGGTACTTAAAGAAGAATGAAGAGTTGGAACATGGGATTGAAACTTTAGGCTTTATTTAGAATAGCATGCCTTTTCATTTATCAAACATAATTTACTAGACCATTATCAATTATTACTTATTGCTAGACTCGTTTTCCCCTAGAATAATCCCTCTATTAGAAAATTTATTGTGTATTCAAACTTGATTGATTTGACTCCAAAACTACTTGAACATTGAATAACCTGAACTCGAAAAATCAATCTCAAATTGGACCAGAACTCAAATAGGCTTGTGGAGATAATTACCATTTAATTAGAAAAAAAATGTAACCCGACTAGCCGAGCCCAAATCTGACTGAAATGAGAAAGGGCACGAACCAAATCTGAACCCAGGTTCACTTGTTTGTCACCTCAATCCATTGGTAAACGGCCTCTTGGAACATTTTGCATTATAGGTTTAAATCACGAGCACACAGTGGGATGAAAGGGAGAGGGATGGTGACAAACTTCATTGTTAACCTTTATAACAAGCTCATCTTTAACTTCATCCATTCACCCTGCAGGAGGAACTTTTAATGGAACATTTCAGCGATTTGATAAAGTTCGTGAAAACTCGAGCCTGTAAGTATTCCAAGTCAAACTCTTTGTTGCGTATAAAATTAGTTTGTTTTATCTCTCAAACTCAACTTGACAGGGAAGTTGAGACCATGCTTTTCCGAGTTAAAATCCAACATAACTAAACTTGACTCACTCGTGGGAGTGGTTTGTTTTTATCAGCGGAAGATCCTAATGCTAGCACGGAAAGGCCGGTAAGTGTGCGGGAAGTGGAGCCAATAGTGAAAGATTTTGGGAGCAGATGGAAGGGTGCAATAGAGTTGATGCACAAAGACGTGATAACGTCTTTCAGTAACTTTTTGTGTGGGATGGAAATCTTAAGGGCGGCATTGACCCAACTGCTGCTTTACTATACCAGACTTTCAGACTGCATAAAGAGAATCAATGGTGGCGCTGCCCTCAACAAAGATCTCGTGTCCATCTCATCTATCATGTATGAAATCAGAAAATACTCCAGGACTTTCTAGATTTACTCTCCTATTTCCAGAATTTTTCCAAAACCTTTCCCATATCAACTTGAGTTGGAACAAAACAATATTTATGTGTTGCCACATTATATTAGAATTCTGCAGACTTTTAGAAGAAACTGTGTATTCAAATATTGTGGAATTTATTTCAAGGTGGTAGGTTGGTGGCTTTTTCTTTTTCTTATTCAACCATAAAACAACCTTTTTTTTAAAGGTATGAAACAGACTATTGCACTTTTTCCTCAATCATGATTATTGGTTTCTTTTAGTCCCTATATGCAAATACAATTTAATAAAAACATATATTAAATGGTAATGAAAAATAATTAAAGAATTATGTTTATATATATATTTTTGATTAGGATAGGATACTCTAATTTAAGGATTTTTAACCATTTAATAATGAACGTTCGAAAACTCTACTGTTTTTGGTACTCGACCCTGATACTTCTAAAAATAATAATCATTCTTTTAATCAACTTGGATGTTAAAAAAAAAAATTGGGTTGATCTGAGGGGGTTTACCCTCCTTCGAGTCGCTGAACGCACTGCACCCACAATTGATGGTAGTGTGATTTGTGGGGGAAATCGAAGGAACCCAAATGATGCTTTTAGAATCCTCAAATTTGTATTTAAACAATTAAACGTATATTCAAACATATGTATAAAACGATCTTCAAAGAACTCTTTAAATAATATATGAAAATATATTTAACGATTTAACATATTTGTGCCCAACACACCTCCAGAAACCAAAGTTGTGCAACACTACACTACACAACTACTTGAAACTAATCTATCAATATCCACAAAGCAACATATTTCCAACTGCTCATGCTGTGCAAGTGTTTAGCTTTCTCTTAAGAACTAGTGGTCTTACCCGTATCGATACTCCGACAAACTTCAAGAACCTCCATGACGGGAGTAGAGGACAGACCGATAGAGGGCAGCGACATGAAGAAAACCGACGAGTACTATAAGAAGATCATCCAAAAGGCCAACTATCCCCAAGACAGCTGTGATTTGAAACCAAACATTTACAATATTAAGCAACGGTTAGCTTCCAAAAGAATTTTTAACGGATAGTTCAACAAAATATGATATATACCTTCTGGAATAATGTCTATGGGGCTGAATACGTATACAGCACTTAAGAACATCTGTGCACAAGTTAATTGATAAAAGAGAATTATTTTCCATTAATAGCCAAGGCAATTATCTGCAACAAAGAACTGTTCATTTTTCTCTAAAAGATATGATTTAACTGCAACATAATGTTTATCTTGTAACAAAATCAATCACGAAATTTTTATGCTTGCAGATAGCATTAGGTATGAATGAAGGTGTTCAATTGGTAGAGCTTGATTCAACTTGACATCATTTATTACGGTGGCCATTGGCCAAGCTTAACTCAAAATCTAGGCTCATTTAGAAAATTTAGCATGGATATTAAGTTTTTTTTATATAAGAATTGGAGGTCTCCTTAAAAAACCCCTTCATAATTACCAAAAACCAATGAGATTTTCGGTAAAAAGCGGAAGGAGGAAAAGAGTACTCATCCAATATTTCAAATTTATGGAGTCTGAAAATAGGATACGGAGATATGCAGGCAATAAACATTAACAAATATTCCATGGCCATGCTTACAAGCATTTAGCCACAGGTTCTCTGATAAATCTAAAGACTCCTGATAATTCAAGAGAAGAAAAAACTAAAAACAAAGGCTCAATGAAAATGAATACAAAATCATCATATGAAAAGAAGAAGAAAAAGAAAGTAATTCCCAACGGATGCAGACGTAATGAGATAAACTAACTTAACTGCAAGATATACACGAGCCCTGATGACAAGAGGCAGAGATCTCTGAGGATCTGTCATTTCTCGTAACAACCTGGGGAGCAGAAAAGGTAGGTCTCGCAGCCTCTGCACACAATAAACCCAGAATAAGACACCAGATTAGAGTAGCTCTGGAAAAGTTAAAATATTGAACATCCTAACAACTGCCTACGAATTTGGTAATAATAGGTCAGTCCTACAACTGAAAGAGTCGGCACATATCTATTATAAGTGCAAGAGAATGTAAGCACCAAGAAAGTTCGAGATGCTAGGTCATATACACAGATTACTGACAACAAACTAGAAAAATAAACTTAACAAGTTTAAACACCTAAACCTGGTATGTGATGAAAATAAGTTATGAGGCAGAAAAGTCAAGGTAAACTTCAAAGAATTAAAATTATGATCTCCATTCATAAAAGGAAGTTTTCAAGACATTCCTAGAATAGGCCAGAAACAACCATTCATCCCGTCCTCATTTTATGTTTATTTAGGCTAGGGACTACCAGTTTGATCATCCTTCCTAGTTTCCTTTAATTTGAAAGTTAAGATTATTACTGTATACAACCTTTGTATGGATTAAGGGCAATGCTATCTAGTTCTTATTTTGAGTCGAAAAAATAATGGCAATTCCAGGGAGGGAAAAAAACTCTCTACCCGGAAGTTTGACACCTTTTATTCCTTGGTGAAGGGAATTTTCAAAAGGAAAAAATTGAAACAAATGGTCAAAGATTTCTTAATAAATGTCAACATTCAACCGAGGGCTGTATTTACAGAACAAAAAATGAGTAAAACATTTTACTCACTGGTACGAGCTAAGACCTTAATTTGAATTATTATTTAGAGGGAAGAAAAAGAAAGAAAATTTAAAAAATGTCAATACCATTATGTTGTCATGTAAATACCCAATTTGGAATAGGTTCAGAATAAAATTTGTTAAGTTGCAAAGCAAATTCAATAGAAGTAAACATGTACATTTGACATACCTGAATGAGGCCATTGGATTGCCCGCCAAAGTAGCAGTTGTACTTTTCAACCTTTTCAAGAATCTCAGCAACTGCAGGATTATGACGCCCCCTTAATGAGGCCTCACCAGGAACCAACAATGTAATTTCACGTCGACACAAAGGGCATTTACAAGCATGAAGTGGGGATCCATGATGCCAAACAAGCATAATACAATTACCTAAATAATAAAAGATAGAAGGCATAATTATTTCATCATGAAACAACAATGATATGAGACAATTACAAAGTCCAAATTTAAGCAGTCCCACCAACTGGCTTAACTAGCAAGTCATAACTACAGAAAAAAAAAGGCTTAAAACCCTTCATTCTTCTTGAAATACCTCGATGAATATGTGGACGTGAGTTTGGAGATATGACTTTCCAAAGATCCTCTAAATAGAAAAAAATTGAACATACTAGTGTCAGATACATACTTGTATCAGACACTGACACCTGATTCCGTGTAATGTAGCTTAAAAGTTTGTAACTCACACAAAAGAAAGGTTTCTTATGTACTGCAACTGATTTCATTGGGGATGGAGAATGAAAGAGTGGTTGGAAAGTAAACAACAAATGAAATAAGTTTATTCAAAAATAAAACTTGCATACGAAAGTGTATCAAAGGTTGGTAGCTGATAGGTTGTTCTACTTCCTCTTCTTGGTCTCCCCCTCCTGAAGGATTCTTTAAATTAGATGTCAATGGAGCTATGAATCGAGATTGGGATGCAGGTGGGATTGGAGGTGTGTTACGGGATTCAGATAACAATAATCTGAGGTATTTTATGGAATCGATAGGATCGGGTCCGCCTGTGATGGCTGAGTTGATGGCCATTAAAAGGGGGCTGTCTTTTTTTGCATCTGTGGGGATCGAAAGGGAGGTTGATACTTGAAAGTGATTGTAAGAACGCTTTGGTGTGGATTAAGAACCAACCCTCCTGCCCTTCGATTTTTAAGGCTATAGTTAAGGAAATAGCTGAGGTGGTGTCGGATCGGGGTGTTATTATTCGGTTGGTCCCAAGGAGTGCAAATTTGGAGGCTTATGAAATGGCTAAATTAGGAATTGGGTGATGGAGGGTTATTCTGTAATGGGGGGTTTGATGTATCTTTTGTGAATGTTTGTTCTTTGTGTGAGTGTACTGAACTAAATTTTTTAATAATATATGAGGTACTCTTTTCCTCCTTCCGCTACTTGTGGATATACCTTTTTGGTCTGTCCTAAAGTATGAAGGGGGTTTTTAGTGAGACCTCCAATTTTTATATAAAAAAATCACGATGTCTCTTTAGAGGTTTAAATTGTAGTTTTATATGAAAAGAAATATCTGTTACCCCGATTCTTCATTTTTCTTGCAGTAATCTTATCAAACATTTGTGTCCGATGCATATTCAAACACGAGTTTAGGAATATGACCATCCGAGGATCCTCCAAATACACAGAAAAATTGAAAAGAAACAAAACAAAACAAATCTACCTGTGGCTGTGTTTTACACGTACATTCATACCCAAGTTCGAGTAAATATATGTATGTGAAGAATCAAACAAATTCATGTGTTCGTGTGTGTGTATTTTAAATTTCGTGAATAGCATTATATGCAATAGAATAGTGGGGGCAGCTGAATCAAACCTAAATGTTAGGCAAAATTTTAAGCTTTTTTGGTAAAATTCAGAACATTTTTATCATATACAGAAGGAAGCCATTCTAGAATCTGAGTGGGGGCAGCTGAACCCATCCCTAATAATCAACATCATGTGCCACCCTTCGATTCCCCTCCCGTTGGAATTAGATTTGCTACTTTACTACTTTCATCTCATTTCAGTTGTCTGCTTTGTGCACTAATTCAAGTAATACCATCTAGATTAAAGAAACTCTCCAATCCTATGAACCCTAATTTTAATTTGATTTTTCCTAGTTCTTACTTAGCTGCTACCAGTCTCCTAACACAGCGTCATATAAATGGCCACCGCCATTCTCAAACACAGAAAACGAGAAGGGAAAAAAATACAAAACCAAAAAGGAAAGTCACCGCAGAACCAATGAGAGCAATTGGCTTGGCAGGGAACGTTAAAACCCCCATGGCAGATAGAACAGCAGTCGTTGGGCGGAGGACCCTCCATCGTCTCTCTCAATTCTCGATTCCTTAATCGCATCTTGACATTTGTTAACGACAAAGGAGAATTTATTGGATGGACAATGGAGTTTGGGCCGTACCATTCGACGAGCCCAATCATCGTCTTAATCACCAACTATTACTCTCTTCTTACTTGCAATGGTTAATACACTTTTCTATAAAATAAAATAAAAAAGTGGAATTTTTCCTTTCAAATAAAAAATTAACTAAATTGCAGTAATTCTTACCACTCAATTCTGTAATTAAATAGAAATTCATGTTATTATTATCATTATTATTATTTCCAACCAAATTAATCGTTGAAACAATCATTTCATTTACTGAAAATACTTAACAAGAAATTGGTAGACTGAAATATATATATATATATATATATATAGAATGAAGTAGTAAAATTATAAGAAAAATGAATCTATAATAATCTTGCATAATTTCTCCCGCTTCTCTCGTGCTATATGCAATTATGCATAAAACCTCTTTGCTTTAAATTGTTATACATATCATTAATATTTTAATTTTATACAAAGGATATGCTTCACTTAATGTTTTATTTTTTTATATGACCAGCGTCTAGTTTAACCATATATAGTTAACTATTGAAAACTATGTTGTACTTAACACATTTTAATATTTTCAATTTATTCAAAATTAAAACACACATCATTTATATAAATAAAACATAGAGGATTGAATATATAGAAATTAGTCCTTTTTAAATGTAAATTTTTTTATTTTTACTTGTAAATTTTAATTTTTTTAGTTTAATTTTTAGCATTTTTACAATGTAATATTTCTTTATAATTATTAGTCAGTCAACAATATAAATTCATCATGCAGACGTAATTATTCGAATACAAATTCCTTTTATAGTGTTGTTCTTTTAAAAAATGCATTTCATAAAAAAACTATTTTCTGAAAATTAAGGTAAAATTATTATATCACGATAGTGTCAACGTGATAGTGTATTAAACTTACTAGATGTTATCTAGTTAATTATTTGTGAAAGACATCTTTCATCATCATTTTTTTTAAATAAGAAAATATTATTTTATTATGATATATTTTAACTCATTGGATGTTATCTAATTAATTATTTTTTGATAGAAAGATGTGCTTCTCCCAATTTACATACAAGGGATCCTAAAATAAATTTGAATTCAAAAGTTTTAAAAAATAGAGATAACATATGATTTAAAAAGGTATTAGTTTTGGACTTCGTGGGTTGTTTTGACATTTTTCACAGATAACCGACTTCCGAACTCAACTTTTACTATGGTCTTAAACATAAACCTCCTAAATTTTTTTATAAAAAATAAAAGTTTAAAGAAAGGTAATTTTAACGATGTTCAATCATACATGGACCTAAACGACCCATGACGGTTCAAATTTTTCAAACGTATACAATTTTCAAGAAAAACTATTTTCAAACCTAAAAACGATTTCGACAACTTATGAAAATGATAGTTGTTTTTTGTACACTTTTATATCATGTTTCTTGTTTTTTAAAGGTTAGATTTATCGCCACCTCTTCAATTAGCATTTACTGGGTTATCTTGTTGATGTACTCCTACATTAAATTATTGAGTCAATTCTCTCATATTGATAGATACTTGTAACCGCCATAGATATATCACGTTTGAGTTGTGATAAAGTCAGTTGTCAATGTATCGACCTTGTTCTACTCTCATGTTAGTTTTGATAATCTTTACTCTTCACCTCTCATGCTCGTATCATGTTTGTTTGTATTTTTTTTCAGTGATTTAATTCTTTTTTCAACCATTTTTTAGTATTATATTTTTTTTGACAGTTTTAAAGGAAAAATTGATTATTATGATTATGATTAATATATCTTATATATATAATAAAGAAGGTTTGAGATTATAATTTTATCATATTTCTTCTTTATATATTTAATAAGATAAACTTTTATTATTAATTAAAAATGTTTTAATTTAACTTTTTAAGGGACACGTGTAGTGTAACCCCCACAAACCAATGCGGATAGTCCGATCCGATCTGGAGTGTCACATTTGGGCCACCGGAGTGACCCACCGTAAAAATAGCGGAAATTTTAAAACTTTTCTTAAAACATGTCAAATCATAAAATGATTTATTATTATTCAGAAATAAAACAGGTTTTTCAAACTCAGATATAAAACAAAATACAATTACATGCCCCCTAATCACATGTACCATACTCTGCAAGCAATGCCAGAAGAACTCCCTTACTAATGTTAATAGCTATACTGGTACAATTCTTTTAACCTGCAATGGTAAGTAATAGAGTGAGCTTCGAAAAGCTCAGTAATACAAAACTACCAGATTATGCTACATGACATGCAGATAAATGGAAAACTATATAATTTCCTTATTGAATCAGACGTATACTCGTTGCGGAATAATCTGGGGTTCCATCAGTAGTTCATCAAGTTGAAGCCAAGAAGATCATAGTTCATAGAAAGCATTCAAAGTATGACATTTTCAGGAGATCAAATAGGATGTCTAGTGTGTTCCAATCAAAACCAGTGAAAAGATATAAATCTTTTAAAACATAGTTGAACCCCCGACCAAACTCCATTATGCAGTTCCCCAGAACTGCATCCATAGGGCTTGCCCTCAACACACAGCAAAAAGGGGAGCCAACCTAAGGATATACCTTGGATCTACCCAAGGATATCCTTAGATCCGTAGGGTTACCTTAAGCACACAGCTAAGGGAACCAACCTAAAGATATACCTTGGGGCCTACCGAAGATATCCTTAGGTTCGTAGGGTTACCTTATGCACACAGTAAAGGGAACAAACCTAAGGATATACCTTGGGACCTACCCAAGATATCCTTAGGTTCGTAGGGTTACCTTATGCACACAATAAAGGGAACTAACCTAAGGATATACCTTGGGGCCTACCCAAGATATCCTTAGGTCCGTAAGGACTTATAGTCGGATCAGGGTTGTGCCTCCATACTCCATATTCCTATCTATATAAAAATCCAGTAGAAATCAGTTTTATCCGTAAATCGTAATACATGGATCGTGATCCAGTAATATGTCATATATGTGATCATGAAATAAATCGTATATCAAATTTCCACCTGTACACCATAAGTAGTCAAATGATTAACCCAAGGGAGTACATTGGGCCTGAAAGCCTACCCAAAGATCCCCTTAGGTCCGTAAGAAATTTCCAGCTTGATCAGAGATGTACCTCCAGTCTACCCATATAATATCCCAGTAAAACAGTGAGTATAACCAGTGAAACATAAAACCATAATTCATAAACCAGTAGTTTCTGTGAATCCATAAATCAGAAACAATTTATATTTTCGATAAAACCATAATCATAAATCACTTACCATGTTGCCATGGTTCATAAACCAGTAAATCAATACTTGTACTAAACTCATTTCAAAACATATAAAACCGTCATGTAATTCATTTGGAACACACTAGAGTATCCACGTATATTTTTCAGAGGCATTTATCGTTATTAATAAGGACAACATGAAACTCGAGCAATTTGATCGGATTCCAGGAATAATGTTCTATTGAGGAGAATCGATTACTAACCGATCTAGCCAGACATTTAAGGTTGATACTTTAGAATCCCACTATATTTTCGGGTGCATTAGAAAAGTTTTCCAGAATGCCCAGAGTGATTTGAGCTAATAAAGGAGAAACGAAGCTTCAAGACATTTACAATCCATGTTAATCGATCGGTTTATTGAACAAATCGAACTGAACAATCTCTAAGAACTAATGCATGTCGACCCGTCAATTTACTGCCTTTTCAGAGTATTTACTCTTTAATACCAACAATTCTTGTCCATAAATCATCTTTGTAATCATCGTTGAATAGATCTTCCAATAGTCTTTATTTCATTTCCATATTTCAACGGTATCAGGAAATACATACGTACTTGATTCATGTTTTATGACCCATATGGATAATTCATCGTGTAAGTTCAACAGTGTTCCCAAACTCATCCAATCACCTATTTAATCCTCAGTCATTGAGGTTACTCATTTCGTTTATCAGTCAAGTCTATCCCAGTTACTTCAGAGCTTTCCAGATAATCCAAACGTTTCTGAATTTCAGATACATATTGTACTTTTGTTTAATTTAATTTGGCCTTCGTGGTTGATTTGTCTAACAAATATCCATTTCTTATTATCGAATACGACCTAGAGTTGAGCTGAGCTGAGTACTTTCAAAATTATCATCGAACCACACTTGAGAAGACGAACACACATTCAAGTAACATCTATACATTTTAGGTACTCACATATACACTAGCATTGATTGCTCGGCTTAATATGTGATCCATAACTTTTAAGAGCAGTACCATATCCATGTTTATTTGGATTCCTTAATTAATCCAATTCTACTAATTTTAGGTCATAAGGGTATTTTGGTTATTATGGTGCTCAGTTTCATTCCATTCTTTTCAGAGCTCGAGGATATCCAATTATTCCTGAGCTTGGTAATATTCTTCAGTCTTTTTCATTACAGGGGTATTCTGGTCATTTTACAGATCCGGTGTATTTCAATCATTTCCTTCCATTCTTTCTTATTATTTAATTCCAACTTATCATTTATTCCAGACCTTTCAAATAATTCTGACAAAAGAGCACCCTCGATAATTTATTCTTAACTCGGAGATTTTCATGTCAATTGTCTTCTCAGAAGTTACCAACAGGTTATCAGAAATTTTCTGTACAAAGACAGGATCTTAACAATTAAATCTGTAATTCATTGAGTTAAGTACAAATCCTCAAAGTACTTTCTCATTCAAGGTCAACTCGAGCTATTTTTACCTTTCAAGGGTATTTTCATAATTTCTTAACTAGATGATTTCGGTATTAACTCTTAACGAGCATACTTATAATTTAGAGATCCTATGGTTAGTTGTTTCCTCGAACAATCTCTGATCTTGAAATGATTCCTTAACAGACTTCTAGTATCTTGCATAAACTCTCTTGGGGTTAAAAACCGGTTATCCATAATTTCCAAGTAAAACTAACATTTCTTATGCACATCAATATATTTATCAGATCAATATATCTTTTCAGATTTATTAATCTACTTCCACGGACAATTCTTGTCATTTTTCAATATAAGGGTAATTTCGTAATTTTACCTAATCAAAATATTTTCATAATTTCCCATCCAAATACCTTTAACATGTAACCTTTGATGATATAAAATATAAGTTACAAATCCAGGGCTAATTTATTTATCACTAATCACGAACTTGCAATTTAATTCCAATAGTTCCTCAATCTATTATATTAGTCATTTGATCCGTATTCAGTTACAGAATTTCTACCACATTCATATCGAGTGAATAAATTATTCAACTCCACAAAAGTGACCAACATTATATTATTCATGCATTTACCAATATCAACTTGTTCCATAAAGCATATAGAGGTAGTAAAGTATTATCTCGATTTCTGTGCAATACTGATCGACCATTAAATTCTATTCGAACGCCCTTGATCTTGAAATCATCTTCCAATATTTCCTCAGATCCATACCAACAGAAATTACATAAAAAACGAAGCTTACACGGATCGAATCGGATGATAAATCAGTGAAAAACAGCTTACCGGGTTCGAATTTGGCAAAACAGACTTCAGATTCGGATTCAAGACGTCGAAAACATAAAATATGACTTTTCAAAAATTTAGAATTTTTGGTCAAAATCAAAGTCAACGGGTTTGACTGGCAATTTTGAGGTCTTCGTGTGTGAATTTTGAAAAACGGACTGCGAAATCTGATTTGAAACGTCGAAAAACGTCAGAATAGGTATGTTCGGTCGAAGTCAAATATCGTTTAATGCCCGGTCAAATTCGGTCAAAGTTCTGGTCAACTGTGGTCAACGTCGGTCAACGGTCAACAGTCGACCATTTTACACAAATATCACCATAACAGAAATTAATTACTAAATTAGCCACATTCTACAAATATTTACCAAACTAACACCCAAATTTTACACAAATAGCACCCAAACAGAAATTAATTACAACCAGACGATGCCCAGTCTCGGGGATGGCGCGTGAACAGTGATACGGTGTCGAAAAATTCCCGAAAAAATTCCTAAAAATTATTTTAAGTGATTTTGAGGCATTTACAAAGCTCGGAACGGCGAAGAGCTCGATTCCGAAACGTTGAAAACTTTGATGGTCTCACCCCTCCACGCGCCGACGACGACGGAGAAATGGAGAACACCGGTGGACTCGGAACGATGCGAGGAACACGATGGTGTGGGAGGTGTCGTAAACGGATGATCGAATCGTCGTGAATCGACGAAAAACCAACTGAAATCGAGTTATTAACGACGATACTTTCGATTGAAATTAACGACGAACGACGATGATTCACGACAAAAGGTTTGAGGGGTTTTGTTCCTCGGTCGACAACGAACACGATGGTGGTTTCGGTTCGTCGATCGGAGGTCGGACGACGAGTAGATCGAAGTTGAAAGGAGGGTTGAAAGGGGAGGGAAACTGAGAAATTAATCTGCAGAATACATTGAAAATGGGTGTTATAATTCATCCCAAAAGAAAAATAGTCAAATCATGAGTTTAGTCACTGAATTTCTTGCACTTTATAAAACGATCTGCCAACTTTGAAAATTTTCAATTTAATCCTCAATTTCCTTCCAAAATTCCAATTAAATTCACCACTTTATAATTTCTTAAATTTTGCCCCTAAATTGGAGTGTTACATGTAGTTATTACATATTGAGCATCTAAGCAATCAGATGCTTAGATTTTTCCATTAATATTAACTAATAACTGATAAAACAGTTCCATAAGCAAAATCAAACATGTCCACATATATATTATGTCCATATTTATAATTGTTTGAGTTATACTCCGAAAACAAGCACACAACAAAAGTAGTCAAAGCAACTTCATAGTAATTGTAAATGCATCCCCTTCTTATTTTATTTAACTATTCATTATAATATGAAAACACCATTCATTCTTCCATATTTGTTTTCTCCAAGATCTCTTGCTACCTGCAGACAATGATCAGATATTTTAGGGTTAAAACACAACACACAATTATACCTTCAAATTTGTATAATATACGAACACAAAAGTATTATAAATATTTTGATGCATTAGTTTTAATATATAAAATCTACTATTTTTTCAGTTCATTTTACTTGTATCTCTTATTATGTGTTTGTGTTGTGCAGTTATATCGTCTAAAAAAATAAGAAACCAGAAGGAAATTAGTACCCGAGATGGAGAATCTTCTTGTTGGAAAAAGCAGTTGGAGGCTCCATCACATTGGGGCTAAAGAAATTGCGAGAAGCTAAAGCTTGAATGGCATTAAGCTCAGGTCCAGTAACCATGTTTGCCTGCTGAAGCCTCTCTACTTCTGCAATCTAAACGTTTTCATGCAAAACAAAATCCAATGAAAAAGAATGAGTATATTCGATTTCTAAGTTAAATTTAATCCGAATATAAAAAAGATCATAACTGAAAATATCTCGAATTCAAAATAATTCAAATTTAAAAATTCGAACCAAAATACTTCAACCGGTTCACCCTAGTACCCTACCCTTTTACAAGTATTTATGATCATATCATAGCTAGTCCTTAGTAATAGTAAAGCCATGCATGTAATGGGAGAAACTAATTGCTTATGTGTTGTATGTGTCTCTTCAGCTGATCATATAATTAAGGAAGATATTAACTTTTATGTGTTTAATATTTTACCCTGGTTCGGAGACAAACGCTTTCATTTTCCAGTTCAATTTCCTGTAAGATAATAAATAGAAATTAATTAGAATATTAAATTAGTTATAATAAATTACTTAAATTGGAACTTAAGTTAGAACAATAATTCACCCTTTTTTGCAAATACTCTATTTCAGCTAGCAGCATTTCGTGCTGTTGCAGCAGCAAAAAAAAAAAAAAAAACAACAACAACAACAAATTAAACATAAATTAAAATAAGGGAGAAAAATGAAAATAATTAATAATTAATGAAATTAAAATTAAAGTTACCTTCTTGGACCTGATCCTAGTAATTCCTCGTTCAAGCCTGTTTTCTACCTGCTTCAACTCTTTCACAGTTAAGGTACTCAATGAATCTCCCATTAGGTGCCTTCAAACAAAGATAATTTAAAAAAGAAATCAAATTTTTTAATTTAATTTGAAATAGTAATTTTTTTTTCATAATTAATTATTGAATGATGTGTGTGTGTGTGTGTTGAAAATAAAGTACCTGTTAGTATTCTGCAACATCTGAATCTGCTGTCTCAACTTAGCTGATTCTTGTTGATAATACTACATATTACATATCCAGTATATGAATCAAATATATATATATATATATTAAATAGCAAGCAAACCAACAAGTTAATGCAAATGATAACTTATGATATAATATATCTGTGTATGATATACCTGAGCATTGATTTCAGTAACAGTGTGTGTGTTAGAAGCATCTGAACAAGCCTTCTTGTACCTGTCTATTGTTGATCTTATGCTGCGTCAAACAAGGAATTCTAAGACAAAACTCAAGTTACCTAATTTAAACCGATAACTGATCATGTTTCTTTTGACCTAATAGTTTATTGTTGAGTAACCACCAAGCTGGATAAAACACATATACATATTATCGGGGATGGACTGAGGAGGGAGTGGGCGGGATAGACACCTTTAAAAATTTTTAATTATCATATATTTTTGACATTTTCTTTATATTTTATATTGATAAAATTTGTTTTCACCCCAGAATTTTATAAATTTTATACTTTCTAAAATTTTATAAATTTTCGCATCTGTTCCTGCATATTATGTTAAGTGTAGACATAAATTTGAATATTTGTGTCTATAGTTTCATTTGTTATACAAAACATTAAACCTAAAAGCCTTGTTGCAAGGCAGACTGAAAAGTTGTCGAAGAAACTTAGAGATATGAAGTTGGTTTAGGACAACTTCATGTCTTGGAATTCCTTAAAAAACAGTACAAAGTCAAGAACCTTTTTTTAAAGGAAGATCTTGAATAAATTATCTCTAGAAATCCAGTTGACCATTGTTCAAAATGAATAGAAATGTAATGGTTTTATAACTGTAGCCACACTGAAGTCTACTGATAATCTCTAAGCCATATTAGGAAAATAGCTTCTGACAATCCCACAAAACCCCAAAATTCTCAGCCACTTTAACTTGAGATCTGCCTGACTTTCTTCTTTCAGCTCACGATAAAACAACATTGCCCCATTCATCTTTGTTTTCCAAAGCTTTTTCATATTCAAAACCCATGTGATCATCAGCGTATATACATATGTGTAACATGAAAAAGAAGAAGAAATGCAAAAACGATAAAAAAAAAAACAAAAGTAGCATGAAAATGGCGAATATTACTTGCTGTTGGAGTACTCATAGAGGCGGCCTCGACTGGAGAAGACGATGAGAGCAACTTCGGCGTCGCAAAGAACTGACAGTTCGTAAGCTTTCTTGAGCAACCCATTCCTGCGCTTGCAGAAGGTAACCTGACGATTCGTGGTGTTTTCAATCCTCTTGATCTCGATCTTTCCTCTACCCATTCTTCAACCTCTACCTGCAAGCAAACAGTACCTTCTGGCTGTTTAGATTTACGTGCTTTTTGTATGGTTTTCATATATGAATCGAACAGTGAAGAAAGTGATGCAAAAAAAAAAATGGTTTTTAGATGGAGAAAAATGAGAGCAGAAGCAGATCCATTGTTCGAGACGGAAATAGAAGTGACAAAATGGCTGAAAATAATTAATAAATAGAAAAAAAAGGAAGGGCATGGAGGAGAAGTTAGCCATCCCCAGTCCCATACCCTAGCTTCAATTCCAAGAAACTTACAAATTTATTTAAGAAAGCCTAGTGAAATGAACAAAGACTTTTGGGATTTTTTATTTATTTCATATAGGTAATAGTACTGTTTTATGGGTGCATATTTACTCTAGAAAAAGCTTGAGTCGAAGAGATTTTGCAAAGATCTGAAACAGGTAGGGATGAAAACCGTGAAATATGAAGAAACCCCATCACGTTTTCTTGTTGTTAAAGAGCCCAGAATCTTCTGTGATTATGCTTGGAGAAAAAAAACAAGGGAAAGAGATCATCTTCATGCAAAGAAATAGAAGGTTCCATTGTTCTGACAACAGATCTAAGAAGATATATATATATATATATATATATATATATATATGAACTGTGGTGAGCTGAGGAGAAAAGAAAAGGAAAAGAAAAAGAAAAACAAGAGATATTATAGTTAAAAAAAGCAAGTATATACATATTTAACAAGATCTAACTCAGAACAATTGCTTGTTTTTGTTAAAAGAAGACGATGAAAGAAAGAAAGAGTTGAAACCTGAGGGAAAGAGTTCCGGCAAATTCAGCTTTCGGAAAAATCACGAATCCCAAAAGGAAGCAAAGTGTTTGATAGAGGTTGTCAGGAGAGGATAGGGCTAAGCTTAGGTGATACTATTATAAAAGAAAAAGGGTGGAGGTGGGAGGGGAGACTCAGGTCTGCGAGTTGGAAAAAGACGTTGGAATTGTAATTTGCCAAAAGGTTTAGAGAAGACGATGATGAATTATGTAAATGGAAAGAGCTTTGCAGGTGCAAATTCCCACCATTTTTGGCAATGGACTTGCCATTTTTCCAATCCCTTATTTAAAGTCCCTGGACTCACTAACGTGCACTTCTCGAATCTTTTCCACTGTCCCCATTTAATGGGCGGGGTTGGACTCAGACTCACTTTGATTCTCTCCCTCCCTCCCAATGCAATTAGGGTTTGGTTTGCTTTGGTGCCAAACAGACACGTATTCCTGAACTACCCTACTCACACTACACCCCAAACTACAATAAATAGTTAACATGATCGTGTTTTATAATTTTGATTACGGTAATCTTTATTGTATTAATGGATGTATAGATCTTCTATGGGTATTTGTTAGAGTCTTCAATGAATTATTTTAAGATTTTTTCACACATATATATAGTCAATATTATATTAGAGACATTGATTTTGTTTTGATAGTAGTACATATGTATAATATCCGCGACGATGAATACTCGACGAGCGAGCATCATTAACGACGAGCATCATTAAAGAACACCATTAATTTAATTTATAAAAAAATTAAATTTTTAAGGACTCAATGTATATGTAACCCCCTAGATCCGGTCTATGTGTTTCGACTAAGTCTAGTGAATCACATTCATGATTCTTAAAGATATTGTTCCGAAACCATTATTCAATCATGGTAAAATCATATTATAAATGACGTTTATGAAATTATAATAATTTATACTATAAAAATACAACTCATAAATATAATGGGAAAAAATTAATTTAAACATGTCTTAAAGATCTAAATTTACGATAAACCAAATATAAATAGCAAAGGAGTAATCATTATAAAATCCAATACTTTAAAATAAGGCCCATGTTACCAAAATAGTATCAACTTAAAAGATAAAATATTACAATACGATATACTTCAAGAGATATGTTGATCCTCCAAGTGCTCAATCAGGTGAATCTAACCAACAGTATCTGAAAGGGGAAAACATTTTCAAAAAGTGAGCTAGACTCGGTGTGTCCCAATATTACTATAAAATCATGATAGTTACACTAAATAAATCATAGTCCAGTAAATCTCATAAAAATTATACTGCAGTAAATCCCATAAAAGATTTACCCTAAGGGAACATCTTAGGGCCTGAGAGCCTATCCAAGATAGATTTCGGGGTCGTGGGGCCTACCTAAGAACACATCTTAGGGCTGCAGGGCCTACCCGAGAATGATCTCAAGGTCGCAGAGCCTATCTAAGAGTCACATTAGGTCCGTAAAATTTTCCAGCTTGATCAGAGCTGTACTTTATAAATTCGTATTCCAAAAATTCAATTGCACCGTGACATAAATTTCATAATTCCATAAACATGGTAATCATATACCATTTCAAAACAAAATCATATAGCGGTCATAATCCATAAACCACCACATTAAATCAGTGCATCAATAAAACAGTAACTAAAGAATTCAGTGTACCACATATTAAAACAAATAAAACAGTCCAGTAATAAATAGGGAACACACCTCGATAATAGGTTCAAGTAGTAGATCTACTGATTGTTGGTCTCACTACGCTCTGCTACAGTTTTCGAACCTAATTTATAATAACACTATATTACTAATGGGTAACATAATTAATCTCTAAAATCATAAAATTTACGGGTCTTACGGGTGAATACTGGCACACGTGGTTTAACTGATCTAGAAGAGCTGGGTCGAGCTGTCGAACGATCCGGAGAGTCTCTTGTACATTCAAACAATAATAATTTATCAACCACAAGTCTTACTTAATTGATCAAAGCTAAAATTCTTAAGTATATAAGCATTTTCTGGGTTTGACTATCAATTCGGAGGATTTCGAGTCTGAATTTAACCAAACAGATTGCGGAATCGGAATCAAGACGTCGTAAAACATAAAGTATGACTTTTCAAAAATTCAAATTTTTGGTCAAAATCAAAGTCAATGGGTTTGACTGATGATTTGGAGGCCTTCGGGTTTGAATTTGGCGAAACGGACTTCGGAAACGGATTCGGTACATCGAAAAATGTTAGAATATATATACTCGAACAAAATCAAAGGTCGTTTAATGGCCGTTTAAAGCCGATCAAAGGGGTTCAATAGTCCACATTCAAAAATTCTTAAAATGTCACCTTTTTCAAAATAATTCTTAGAATGTCACCTTTTTAAATATAATTCCCAAAATGTCACATTTTTCAAAAATAATTCCCAAAATGTCACCTTTTTTCAAAATAATTCCCAAAATATCACCTTTTCAAAATAATTCCCAAAATGTCACCTTTTTCAAAATAATTCCCAAAATGTCACTGGGTCGGGTCGGGTCGGTCAACGGGTCGGATCGGGTCAGACCGGTTTGGACCGGTCAAGCCGGTCAACTATTATAAACCCCCATTTTGAATCTTCCCCACGCGCAGGGTCGCGGCGCGGCGCATGAGGGCGCGTGAGACGTCCTCCGATCTCCAAATATTCATGCAAAAATTTCCAAAAATTATTTTAAGCGATTTTGAGTCACTTACCAACCTCGGTTCAAATTTTTGAACGGTGAAGAGCTCGATCGGAACTTTGATCGTTTCACCTTACTCACGCGCCGCCGCCTACGGAGACAAGGAGGACACCGTCGGACTCGGAACGACACAAGGAACACGATGGTGCGGGAGGTGTCGAAAACCGATCAACGATCGGAGATGAATTTAAGATTTTCTAGGCGGTGGTGCTAAAAAAACGTCGAGACTTTGACTCGAAATTCACGTCGTTTGGCAGCGTTTCGCTATAATTGGTTTACTGGGTTTTGATCACGGGTCGAAGATGAACACGAATGTGGTTTTAATTTTACTATTGGAGCTTGGACGGCGTAGGAATCAGACTTTAAAGAAGGTTGCTGGAAAGGGAATTTTATGAATTGGTTTTCTGTGTTTTCACGCAGAAACCAATTCATTTCCTTTAAAAGAAAAGCTTGCCGACACTCAAAGGTATAATGCAGGGCTTGGTCATTGAATTTTTTTTAACTTCTAAAATGGCCTATAAGTTTTGAAAACTTTTAATTTAGTCGCCAAATTTCACCAAATTACACTGATTTAAATATTTTTTTTCGGGTTATTATAATTCTCTCCCTCTACAAGAAATTTCGTCCTCGAAATTTACCTTATGAGAATAGTTGAGGAAACTGAGCCTCCATTGACTCCAATGTCTCCCAAGTAGCTTCAGAGGGGCCTCGGTTACTCCATTGAACTTTTACTATTGAAATACGCCTATTCCAAAGAACTCTCTCATCTCTTTCTAAGATTTGAACGGGCTCCTCCTCATATGACAATTCAGGTCTCAGCTCAACCTCTTCAACCTAAATGATGTGACCCGGATCTGGGCGGTATCGCCTCAACATTGATACATGAAAAACATCATGAATACGACTGAGCTCAAGAGGCAACTCAAGCTGATATGCAACAGGTCATACCCTCTTCAAAATACGAAATGGTCCAATAAATCTTGGACTCAATTTACCATTACGCCTGAATCTCAATACTTTCTTTCAATGTGATACTTTTAAAAAGACATGATCTCCAACTTCAAACTGAATATCTTTCCTCCTTTGATCTGCATAAGACTTCTGTCTATCAAATGCCTATTTCAGTCGGTTACGAATCAATTTGACTGTGCCCTCCGTCTCGCGTATTAACTCATGTCCCAACGTCTTCCTTTCACGAAACTCAGTCCAACAAATCGGGGTGTGACATCTTCGCCCATAGAGTGCTTCGTAGGGTGCCATACGAATGCTGGTATGATAACTGTTATTGTAAGCAAATTCAGCCAACGGCAAAAAGTTCTCCCAGCTACCATGAAAATCAATTACGCAACCCCGCAACATATCCTCCAGAATCTGAATCACTCTCTCAGATTGACAATCAGTTTGTGGATGAAAGGATGTACTATAATCCAATCTTGTTCCCAAAGCTGTATGTAACGCCTTTCAAAATCTCGAAGTAAATCTCGGATCTCGATCAGAAATAATAGACAATGGAACACCATGCAATCTGACAATCTCCGAAATATACAATCTCGCCAGCTTGTCCAAAGTATAATTTACCTGCATAGGAATGAAGTGAGCTGACTTTGTAAGTCTGTCAACAATCACCCAAATTGAATCCTTTTTTGAAGGAGTCATAGGTAATCTGGTAACAAAATCCATAGTAATACGCTCCCATTTCCATTCAGGAATCTTGATAGGCTGTAACAAACCTGATGGATGTTGATGTTCTGCTTTAACTTGCTGACAAGTCAAACACATAGCTACAAAATCCGAGATGTCCTTCTTCATGCCGCCCAATGATACTTCTCTCTCAAATTCCTGTACATCTTATCTCCACCGGGGTGCATAGCATATGGACTACTGTGAGCCTCATTAAGAATAATCTGCCTCAACTCAGAATCATCAGGCACACAATATCGACCCTTAAAGCATAAAACTTCATCATGATCAAGGGAGTAATCTGAGCTTTTCCCCTGCTCTATTTTCTCAAAGATGGATAGAAATGAGCTATCAATGGGCTGCTTAACTTTAATTTCATCAACCAAAGTCGGCTTAACTTGTAATTCTGCTAACAAAGTGCCATCGTCATATAAGTTCATCATGGTCATTAAATACCTCAACTCCGATACCGCCTTTCGACTCAAAGCATCCGCCACAATGTTAGCTTTACCAGGGTGATAATCAATCACACAATTATAATCCTTTAGAAGCTCTAGCCAGCGCTGTTGTCTCAAATTAAGCTCCTTCTGGTTTAGAAGATACTTTAAGCTCTTATGATCAGTGAAAATGTAACACTTCTCTCCATAAAGATAGTGTCTCCAAATCTTCAAGGCAAAAATCACTGCTGCTAACTCCAAATCATGAGTAGGATAATTACACTCATGCGGTCATAGTTGACGTGATGCATAAGCCACTAACTTAGC